ATATCTCATATGTATTTGTATATTTGCTTTTAGGCATTTTTTTTAGCTTTATATTCCAAACTCCAAAATCTGATTTTCTGGTTGAAATTCAAATTTCTTATTTTTGTAAATGGCTTCGTTAAAAATCCAAGTGAGAGTGGTAAATACCATCAGTGAAGTGTTGATAGTTTTTTAGACTTATTAGAATGCTTAGAGATCAACCAGTCCAATCCATTCATTTTATTTTATTTTATTTTATTTTTGAGACAGAGTCTCACTCTGTTGCCCAGGCTGGAGTGCTATGGCGTTAGCCTAGCTCACAGCAACCTCAAACTCCTGGGCTCAAGTGATCCTCCTGCTTCAGCCTCCCGAGTAGCTGGGACTATAGGCATGCGCCACCATGCCCAGCTTATTTTTTCTGTATATTTTTAGTTGTCCAGCTAATTTCTTTCTATTTTTAGTAGAAACTGGGTGTCAGCCTAGCTCACAGCAACCTCAAACTCCTGGGCTCAAGCAATCCTCCTGCCTCAGCCTCCCGAGTAGCCAGGACTACAGGCATGTGCCACCATGCCCAGCTTATTTTTTCTGTATATTTTTAGCTGTCCAGCTAATTTCTTTCTATTTTTAGTAGAAACTGGGTCTCGCTCTTGCTCAGGCTGGTCTTGAACTCCTGAGCTCAAAGGATTCGCCCACCTCGGCCTCCCAGAGTGCTAGGATTACAGGCGTGAGCCACTGCGCCTGGCCAAGCACTTGATCTTTAATTGCATTCTCTCTCTCTCTCTCTCTCCTCTGCATCATACAGTTTTAGATCAGGTTTCCTTGACCAGAGTTGTTTTGCTCATAACACCAGTGTCATGGTGGCTGAGAACACAATTTACTTAGAAGACATCAGCCGTCCCCTGCTACCTATAAAATGCTGCATTAGGTCATGAGATATTAAGAAATGTAAGGCCCGTTCCCTCCAGGAAGTGACATGGGTGGGAAGATCCCAGCTACCACATGTAAGACAGTGCCAGAGGGATCGCAAAGACAAGAGGAAAAAAAGCACTGTGTCCCAAGGGGGGCAGATCTCAACAGATGGGGAGAAGTAGGGAAGGACTCTGTGGATGGCACAGAAGTGAAAAATGTTGTGGAGGCCACTTTTTGGCAACCCATGCACAGAAATCACTGCATGACCCCATTAATATTTCTGATCAATCTTGTATTTTTCTAGTTGATTAATTAGAAAAACAGGCCTTTTGTTCCAATGCCCCTCTCCAGGAACTGGACACATGGCTCTCTGATAAAGAGCAATGGGTCCACTTGGGAGAGGTATAGATTGGCCAGAACAAAAAGACATGGGCATCTTTATACTATTGCTTAACATTGCTCTGCATCAGGGCTTCATCTACATGTTTAGAGATTCTACAGTTCCAGGACCAGACAGCCCTCATCCCAAGGGTGCTTAGGCCATGCCCAGAACACTCTTAAGCTTGCTGTGGCTAGCGTTTCTTCCCAGGGGTGGGAAATGTCACTTGTGCAGCATGATGCTGAGGATGAAGCTATTAGGGTAATAGATTTAAGAATCACTCATGTGAAGTTGCAGGAAAATGCCTGGCTGCCCAGGCAGTCTTCCCTTGTCGAAGTTACTGGGTGCCTCATGCTCCACCTCAGAACCCAGTTTCGGGCACAACTTCTCAGGATCCCCTTTCTCTCTCCCAGATGAATGCATCAGTCTGGAAATGCCCATCCCCTACCCAGAACCTGCTTGGGTCTTCTAAAAATATTACTTAAATGTTAGGGGACAACAATGGCATAAAGGCAGGTGGGAGCCACAGAGCTGGGAACCCCAGATTACTTTCCCCCTAAAAAAAGGGCGGTGGGGCAACCACCAAGCACTGAGCCCTCTACGGCCCACGTGACAGATTGTCATGGGCTCAGTGGAGCAGCCAAGATTACAACTCAGTTTACATCATAACATGCTGTGTTGCTGGCCAAGGGATAAGCACAGAACGCTTTGGAGCATTTCCGCCCAGCTTTCTGAGGAGAGAGGGAGCTGTCGGAGTTGCAGCGTGTGGCAAGAACTGGAGTGAGATGTGGAATAAATGCAGGATGGGTTATGAGAGAGCCGCACTGGGCTGTGGATGTTTGTGGCATGAAGGTCTCTCTGGCAAAACCTCTTGGACCTTTATAAAATGCAACTTCCCCATGCACGGCCACAAAAGTATGGTTTCAGAGATAGGCTGAGTGGAAATGGTTGGCCCTCATCTCCTCCAAGCCCCCAAGCCACCTGCTCATGTTGGCATGTAACGGATGGGAAATCACAACTAATGCTTTGTTCTCACTTGGTCTCAACCCTACCCCAGCACAGGAACACAAAGTTTCCCTCCAGGCGGTGCTTCTGGAAAAGATCCTTTGGAGGGCAGGGTGGGAAGAGGAACAGTGTTAACTTCTATGAGGTCCCTGTGTTTTTCTTGGGTTGCCCTTTGGACAGCAAAGATCACCATAACTTCCAAGAATGAAAGGTTCCCCACAGCTCCAAATATCTGGGTGACTGGCAGAATGATTCGAAACTGATGCAGCTCCAACCTAGATACCTTTAAAGTCAAAACTCCAAAAAGGCTAGGCTAATACTACCTCTTTGCCCACTGCCCGGGCAGGTTATTCCATCTCTGCTTTATACAATCCCTATGTCTGGTAACTTTCCAAGGGCAGTACAGAGGGGTGGGGGTGGCCAATGGTTTATTGATCTGATGACTTGTTGGTCCTAAAGAAAAGAAAATTGAGCTGCATTTCTGGCCTTGTTTCTAGAAGACCACAAAAGGTTTGTTAGCGTTGATAACTCAGAAAGATGTTCAAAGAAAGAAGGAAGCAGCTGCTACCCCAGGGAGCCCCTGCCATGTGTCTGCATGTGTGTGTGCATGCACTCACACATGCACACACACACACACACACACATACACATACACACAGCACTAGCTGCTGCAGCACCACGCACCGCTGCACTTGAGTAAACCAATTCCCTGGTGGTCCTTTAAAACACGAGGTGCTTTTTAAAAGGGGGTGATGGTTTCCGTGTTGGCAGCCCTCACCCCTTCCTTAGACCACTGCTCTTTTGTTGAAATCCACTGGTTTGACACAGGGCCGATTCAGCAAGCAGACAGCCCCGCTGCTCACTGTGGGCCCCGTCAAAGCATTCCCTCTCCCTGGGTAGCAGAGTAGAGACAGGTGAGGGGCCCATCAGTGGGTCGGCTTCTGCCGCCAGGGCCTCTGGCCTCATCTGCCCCTTCCCCTGGCAACCTGCCCTTGCCCCCACCTAGTTATCCCGAGCTGGAGCTGGGGTGCTGAACAGGAATTTAATACCCCTCTCCCTGAACCCCTCGCCCCTGCAGGCGCTGGCAGGATTTCCCACGCTCCAGGGCTGCAGCCGCTGTCTCTCCTACAGAAACAGCCCGCACCTTTCCAAAGTGACATTGCTGAGCCCGTGCAAGGGGCCACGTCCCTCTGGGGCCTCTTGACTTTTGGGTGGGAAATGCTTATAAAAGCCCCGGCATCTGCTTCTGTAGAGCATTTTTCACCCCCAGAAGTCAGGCGGTCTCTGTCCCAAGAGAATCAGAATCTCTATTTTAAGCCCGGCTTCAGGCTGTGGAAGTGAGTGGGAAAAAAAACCCAACAAGCGCAACATAGAAAGAAATGGCCTCAAAGTCCCGAACTGAATCTCCATGTGAAATTTAAAACAATACAAGAAGTTGAGTTTTATTAGGGGAAAAAAAAATCATTCAGGAAAGAAAGTAAATCCCCCAGGATGGGTTAGACTTAAACTTTAGTATCCTTGGCTGGGTTTTTGGTCTGCAGCTGATGGTCAGATAGCAGAGAAAAAAAAAAAAATCTCTAAAATGAACTCATTATTAGGCTTCCTGCATCAGTTCATTACTACGGTAGCTATTCACAACCAAATATTTCTCTTTTCTGGATCAATCTGAGATTAGTATTCATTTCAACCAATATACTTATTTCTTTTCTTCCATTGAGAGGGACTTACAAACAGCCTTGTAAAGGCCTTTTCTTCCTTGCACAGACTTATTTATATGGCCACAGGCCTCTTGAGTGTCACAAGATACAATCAGGTGAGTTGGCCAGGGCTACAAATGTTGTATGTGCTTCTACTTTTCATTTCTCTTCCTCCTTTTTCTCTAAAATACTTTTGGCATGGCAGTTCTGGCTGAGTAAGAACCAAGAAATGTCTGTGCCCAAGACATAGACCTATGTCCCTCCAGGGACAAGCCTGCACGGCTCAGATTATCATGCGGTGCTGCTGTCCCAAGTCAGACTAACTTGTGTTTGGGATCAGGTAGCACCGTTTAGTCAGCCAGGCTTCACCTCTTAGCCTCGTGTGGGTCACTAGGCCTCTCTGGGCCTCAGTTTCCTTATAAAGTCAGAAGGGTACTACTAGCCCTGAGCGCCTATGTTGCATAATACTACATATAAGTATGGTTATCTGCAAGGATTAAATGAGAGCATCAATGTGAAGCGCTCAGCACACGGTAACCTTCCCAGAACTGGTAGATGCTGGCTGGTGATGATATTGGGGATGAAGATGACAGAGGAAATGTGTGCAAAAATAACTGAGAATCAGAAGCTCTAGTTTTGAGATTGACTCTCCACCTATCCTGCTGTCTACCTCGGGAACTTGAATTCTCCCAGCCAGTTTCTGTGCCTGAAAATGGGGTCTAAGTTGTGTAGAACAGACAATAATGTTTGGGCAAGCATGCCGCGAGTGGCAAAGCATTAACCACAGTTAGCTGGGGTTGCCACAACTGTTTTTAGAGTGTCAGTGCATCTAAGAGGAGGGGATCACATATCTTCCTAGTGCAGTTTGTGTTCTTTCTGTGGCAGTTGTCAAGCAAGGGGGCGTAGCATGGTCTGGATCCAAAACCTTTGCAGGAGGCGTGTCCCTGATGCTCTACGCTCCTGAGGAAATCATCTTCCTCTCTGGGAAACGCCTACCCACACCGACCTGGTCCCCACAGCGCTCAAGGCTCAGAGGACCAACAAGCAAGAAGACCCTTCTGGGTTTGAAGGATATGAACTCTGCATTCAGTGGCTTTGCTTTATCATCAGTTAGACTGAGAACGGTGTTAGTTTCCCTATGGAAAATGCATTTCAGAGCAAGAGTAAAGAGTTTGTTTCTAATAAAAGTATTAACTATCAAGAGAAGGAAAGCTGATCAAGGTGCATTGGGTCTTACTCTCATTTCCCTGATTTTGGACAGAATTCTCCAAATTGGCACCTATTTTGGACTCTCTTTCTTGGAGCTGGGGCTGTTCTGTCAGAAGTTGGACTTGAGGCTTTTGAAAGAGTTCCTTTTCTGTTAGCATTGTGATTCGTGGTGTGGAAAAGTCCAGAAGAAACAAATATACGGAGACATTTCAATGATGTGTATTAAGGATGAGAAAGGGTGGTAAGGTCTTGGAACTCTGCTGTGCTCACTCCCACGCCTATGGTTTATCGCGTTGATGATTGTCCAAGACATCTTTCTCAAAGGATTCTTTGACACTGAAAAACATGTAAACAGAATGAGAGCAACAGGAAATACAAAACTAATCCCCACCATTTGAAAAGTCATTGACCGTGCTCATTAAGGCTTTTTAATTGGATGCCTATGAAACTTCAGGTTGAAGACTAGATTTCTTCTTTTGATATCAGTATGAGGTTTCCACTCTGTTAACTGTAGGGAAGGGTGGATCCTGAAATTTGTTTGTTTTTTTGTTTTGTTTTGTTTTTTAAATTCAGTTGGAGCAGTGGCTAGCAATTAAAGGGAAAAAAGAAACCTCGAAGTGTGGAGATTTAGTCATTGATATAGTTTTTGGAGTAAATTTGTATTTTGCTACTCATTGCCTGGCCAGGCAACACATCTATTTTGTTTGGAGCTGAGCAGCAATTTGGGGGGCAGAAAATCGTATTGACGGTAATAGCTTGAAACATGAAATTGTTTTTATTCCCAGCTTGGAGAAATTGCAGGGCACGTTTTGTTTAAGCAATCCCTTTGACTCCAGTCTGAATACAAACGGAATACCAAAACTGTGGGGTACATTTCCCCTTATCTCCTACCCAGAGACTGATTTCATTACCATAATTGCAGGCTTGCCTGGCTCTTGGCAGCCTCTCCCCTCCAAGACCCTTAATAGCCTTGCAGATGATGGTTACAGCTCGGTTGTTCTGTCTGCAGGCAGAGGAGAGGGCTGCAGAGGAGGAAGGGTATGTCTCCAAAGTCTCAGCACTGCCCTGCCACTGCCCAGCTTGGATCTGCCCCACTGCAGCGGTCCATCCTTCTACCACTTATCTTTCCAGGGCTCTGTGTGGATCCCTCTTACCATTACTCCCCAGCAACCATCCTTTCCAGCAAACAGCAATGACACCAAATGTATGATGCATTCATTTTCTTCCCTTTTTTCCTTTTTTGGGGATTACTAAAAAAGCTCCATAATTACTTATAAATATGCAAGGGATGCCTATAAGATTGGGGTAATGGTGGCATAAAGCTAGTGGTGCCCTTCTAGGCATCCCACAGCAGAGGAGAAAGATGCACTTGGCCTGCCTGAGCAGACTCTGGAATTGAAGGTCACCCTCTTGACCACGTGTCTGGACTACACAAAACCACAGCCCGGGCCCACCATAGGCAGGGCAACTTCCTTCGAATATCAAAGTGAACAGGATTCAAACCTTCCTATTGCTCACACAAAAGGAAGGGGCTATCTGTCTCTGGGATGGGCACACCCCAGTGCAATTTGGCAGAGCATCTCAGCAGCTCTCTCAGATGTCAGGTTAGGGCAAAACTGGAAATGCATCTGCCCAGTACATCTTGCACTGATTACTTGGAGCGCATGTTTCTGATTCATTTGCGCATAACTCATCCAGGGGGTGTTGCAAGAGCTATGTGATGGCCAAGGGAGCCCAATGAGTCTTTTATTATATTTTTTAAACAAGTTTCTCTACATTGATTGTCTCTCACAGCCAAGAAGCTGCATTCTTCTAGCCCCGTGACAGACTTCAAAACTAGGCTCCGTAAATCCGAGAGCAAGTTCTAACCTTGGTTCCAGGACTATGTGCTCTGCCCCGGAGGGTTGGTTGAGGAGTGTGCAGGCTGGGGCTGGACTATGGGCTAAGTGACAATCAGAGCTGAGAAAGCCTGGTCTTGAGGACCTTGTGCTCATATCTCGGCGCACCTTGTGGCAAGCAGACCCCACCGGCACCTGTGGCCTCTTTGCTCCCTCAGTCTCATGAGGGGACAGTCCCTCTATCACTTCCTTTTCAATAGACAGTGTCACAAAGTTGGTAAAAGCATGGGTTCTGGAACCAGATTCCCCTCATCTAGCTCCATGACCTTTGGCAAGTTGTTAACGTCTCTGTGTGCCAGTTTTCCCTGTCTGTAAAAAGCTATCTGTTGCTGTCTAGCAACCAGCCCAAAACTTAATAGCCTGAAGCAATGACCACTGGATGGCTGTGGGTCTGGAATTTGAACGGGGCTCAGCCAGCAGAGCTTGCCTCACCTCCATGTGGCGGCAGCAGGGGTGGCCCACCTGGGGCTGGAGGATTCAGGAGAGCCCCACTCACGTGGCGGGGGCCTTGGGGCTGGACACTGGCGGAGGTGCCTTGGCGCTCCTCCATGTGGCCTCTCCCTTTACGTGGTCTCTACTCATGCAGTGGTCTGGGCTGTGCTAGCTTACCTAACGGTGGGAACATTCCAAGACAATGAAAACGGAAGCTACAAGACCTTTTAAGACCTGTCACCATTCTGCTCCTACCCATTCCACTGGACAGAGTGAGTCACATGTCAGCCCAGATTTCCAGGAAGGAGACATAGACTCCACCTCTCGGTGGGAGATGCGGCACACACGCAGGGATGGGAGGTTGTTGAGGGTTAAATAAATTAATATCGGCAGAGCTTTTAGAATAGCGCCTGGGAAAGATTTTGTATTCAGTAAGTGTTATGTTTCATTCTGATTATTCTAGTGTCACTTCAAGAACACATACAGTACATGTTTACCCCTTGAATGAAAGGCTTCTCACCCATTTGGTCATCGATAACTCAGAGACCCTACTGATGAACTTCTTCTCCCAGCCCGAGGCCATGTTCCATCTAGTGATGGAACTCACTTGCACCATCCCTGGCTGTTTTCCATTCTGTGTCACCACGCGATCCCAGCGTTCCTTCATGAGGGAGGTGCCCATCGTTTCCTTCTGCTCTCTCAGACTTTCTTCCAAGGGTCACATAGGTCGATGGCTGTTGTTGACTCCACATTCACCCTGGCCTGTTCTGAATTCTTCAGGTCACCATAGAGGTGGTCGACGGTCCTGACTCGGAAGCAGATAAAGATCAGCATCCGGAGAATAAACCCAGCTGGGCAGTGCCGGCCCCTGACTGGCGGGCCTGGTGGCAGAGGTCCTTGTCCTTGGCGAGGGCAAACAGCGGGGACCAGGACTACAAGTACGACAGTACCTCAGACGACAGCAACTTCCTCAACCCCCCCAGGGGGTGGGACCGTCCGGCCACAGGCCACCGGACTTTCGAAACCAAAGAGCAGCCAGAATATGGTGAGTTTACCACCCAGTAATATGAAATTGGCGGGGAGAATAAATGAGGGTGATGAGGCCTAAGGGACATTGAGCCAAGCCAAACCCAGTTTACAGTATGTGGCTTTTGGTCTCCTACGAGGCATACCTCATAAAGGCTCTGTTCCACAGAAGCCCCAAGGAGGCACCAGAAGCCACATTTTTCTGGAAAGACTATAATTTTAAAATCAGATCAATTATCTGGGAGAGAATTTTTTTAGGGCCTTTGGGGTTCTTTCTGCCTTCCCCCCAGTTTGGAAATCCTCAAATTAACTTTCTTGTATTTTTTACTGTAAAAGTTCACATTGAAAATTAATTTAGTAAAGGAGATGTGCACAGCTGCTTCCGCTGACCAGGCAACTATGTCATGTTTGATACTGGCAGTGGAGTGGCCCTCGGGGGTCCACACAAACATGTGTGTCACAGTTCATCAAAATAAGTGCCCCCCACAATAAATTTCAAAACTCCAAGTTGGGACTTATAGTCTCCTGTGTTTTTAGAGTAGGGTGGGTGAGGTGAAAACTTCCAAATTCAGTGATTTAAAATAATAAAAGTTCATTTCTCACAAGTTGGGATAGGAGACAGGTTGGGGGGTACTCAGCTCCACTCAGCCATTCGGGGATCCAGCCTCTTCCCCTCTCGGAGCTCCACCAACTGTTAGGGCCCGAGAGTTATCCCCTGGAGGCTGTGCATCCAGCTGGTAGCCAAGGAAAGAGGGAGCCCGAAGAAGCCACCACACCCTTAACCTCCTCAGCCTGGGAGTGACACACATCAGATCTACTCAAATTCTACTGGTAAGACCTGGTCACGTGGTCCCACCTAGCCACAAGGGAGTCTGAGAAATGCATTCTGCGTGTCCAAGAAAAAAAAAGGAAACAAATTTGGCAAGCATCTGGCCAGCTTTAGTGGAGATTCGGGCAGTGAGTTATAAGAGTATTTGATGTCTTACAAATGCACCCATCATCACGATGTTCCTGTGGCTTCGTCATCAGTGGACTTAGAAGTGAATAGTACACGAAGAGGATGACTTATCTTGTACCATTTCTGCTCTAATCTTTATTCCCTTTCTTCAACAGAAAGACTGGTTGTATACTAGAGAATGATTTCTGATCATTAATAGATGATTCTAGGCAACTTCCGAAACAGCTAGACAATTTTTTTTCTAACCACATATTCAGTTGTTCAGCCAACATTTATCAAGAGCATGTCTGTGTCTAGCACTATGCTAGGTGCTGGGAATCCAAAAATGAGCAAGATATAGAGGATCTCACCCATCTGTGGACAAAGGGAGAAAATTAACTAATAGAGCAAAATAGTGCCATGGTAGAGACATACATCAAATGCTAAGACAGCAGAAAGGGAATACCGTACCCCTTCCAGCCAAGAGGCTAGAGAAACCATCACTTTTCCCAGAAGAAGTTCAATTTATCTATTTTCCAAGAGGAATTACTGGGTATAGTAGCCAACTTACACATAGTACTTACCATGCACTTCCCTCTTCATGACATTTCACATATATTAATATTATCTCATTGAATCAGCTCTCTGAGGCAGATACCCCATTTTACAGATGGGAAAACTAAAGCCTTGAGAAGTTAAGCAACTTGACTTAAAAAGGTCTATTTGGCTTACAATTCTGATGTCCGGAAAAGTTCAAGATTAGGCATGTGCATCTAGTGAGGGCCTCAGGCTGCTTCCACTCATGGTGGAAGGTGAAGGGGAGCTGGTGTGTGCAAAGATCACATGTTGAGAGAGGAAGCAAGGCAGCAGGGAGGTGCCAGGCTCTTTTTAAAGACCAGCTTTTGCAGGAACTAATAGCGTGAGAACTCACTCATTTCCATTTCCATGAGAACAGCACTGAGCCACTGATGAGGGATCTGCCTCCATGACCCAACACCTTCCATTAGGCCCCACCTCCAACATTGGGGATCAAATTTCAACATGAGGTTTGGGGAGACAAACACCCAAACTATAGCAGATAGTAGAATATATCTAGAAATGAATGCTTGGGTTGGAAGATAGGAATGGAAGGAAAAGACCAGTGCTGTTGAACGAGAGAAACACGGAGGATCCCTGGATGCCAGCCTGAGATTGCACAGCCCACACAGAACACTGTTTCTAAGAGTGGGGCTCAGACACTTGACTTCAGAATTCCTCAGTTGCATGCTAAAAAATGCCATTCCTAGGCCCCAACTCCTTCCCCATTTACCAATAGTCCTCAAAGTGTGGCCTCCAAACCATCAGCACCAGCAGCACTTGGGAATGTGATGGAAATGCAGACATCTCGGCCTCACTCCAGATCTACTGATCAGACACTCTACGGTAGGAGAAATCTGTTTGAACCAGCCCTCCTGGGGACCCTGATGCATTGAGCCCCATTGTTTGAGATCAGTGGTTCTCAACCTTGGTGCTCATTATAGTCACCTGGGGAATTTTTTAAAATCCTGTTGCCTACACCTCTCTCCAGATCAATCAAATTGGGATCTCTGGGGGTGGGTCCTGGACATCAGTATCTTTTAAAGCTGCAAGGGTGACTCCACTGGGCAGCCCAGATTGAAGGCACCACTCTCCATCTTCTCAATGAGAAGGTCTAGAAGTGAGACCTGCAATCTGTTGTTTGCTTTTTTGTTTCTTTCTTTGATCAATCAGTGTCACCAGGTGATTCTCATGCTCACTGAAGTTTGAAGACCACCACTAGAAATAACTTTTTCATCTAAAGCTTTCACAGAGTACACTTTGCTGAATTCACGAACCCTAAGAACATCCCCTCTATTTCAATCTTGAGGATGGAATTTCCTTCTACTGGGGCAACCACTGTGGCTTCCCCAACCACCCTCCCCCCAGCTTCCTAGACCTAGAGGACCTGTGGATCTCCCTGTGTCAGGATCTTCCAGCATGCCCAGGCCGTGGGGAAGCTCCCATCTTCTACAATTTTGAAGTACCTCTTAATATGTTCCCCATCATTAGTCTAGATGCCAGGATTCCTACTTTATAAAGAAAATCTTATGCCTTACAGCACCTCTAAAGTGGTGCCTCTCAGACTTTAACATGCGTGTGAATAACCTGGGGTCTTGTCAAAATGCACCTGGTGATGCAGTAGGTGGAGGGAAATGGGCCCAGGTGAAGCTGACTCTGCCAGCCCTGCAGCTACTTTGAGTAGCAAGACTCTAAGCCCATTGTAGGTGATCGGTAGCATTTGCAGAACGAATGAATGATCATTGCTTCTCAGAACAGCTCACAAGGGACATGGGATTTCCCGAATTCCATGCAGCATCAGATAAGCTGAGAATTCCCTCTTTTATTTCAATCAACAAGAAACCATTTAGCATTTTCTAGATAGTTATCCCTATGTTGGGTGTGATTGCAGAGGACACAGGGAGAGAACATACCGCCCAGGAAGGTGAGGGTCATGCAACAGCATCGCAGTGCTTTGTATCTCTGTATCTAGGCACTTGCTGCCTTGTCTAAGACAGGCTAAAAATGCTATGGGAGCTGGCCTTTGTGGAGGAGATAGATCTCAGAGTTTTGAAGGCAGGATTTTTATTAAGAATTTAAATGTTTGAAGGCAAAAAGTATTTCAAAAAATCCTAGGTGAAATAAATAAGATTCAATGTCATCTGTTGAATGAATTATAAAATATGCAACTGAAGACAGACCTGATTTGTAATGTTAGAAAAACGTAACGTGATGATGCCATGACTCAGCTCAACTGTAGCAAGTGTGTGTTTGAGATTCTGCATTTTAAATACCCTCTGTGTAGATACTTCAGGTATCCAGGGCAAAGAGAGAGTCCAGGTAAATACTTCTCTGCCTAACGGTAGTATACCATTCCCCAAATTATTTAGAATAGTCTACATAATGAAATTAGGTGGGCACTGCTTATCATTACCTGGGTTAGGGCTCAGTTCTTTGAAATTCTCTAACTTGTCATGATTCAATTCTAATAGAAAATTTCAAAGTGATTTTTTTTCAGGAGCTTTTCTTTGTATTGTTGAGTTTTGACCACATAGTGGGTATCTTAAGGAAGGGAGGCCAACTTCGGTCAGAATCAAAGCTACTAGAGTACCAGGCTTTAGAACAGGATATGGTGAGAACAGACAGACTTCACATCTAATCCCAGTTCTGCCGTTGCCTGTGAGCTGTGTGACCTCAGGCAAGTACTTTAACCTCTCTGAGCCTTGATTTCCTTGTCCATAAAAGGAGGATGTTTCCATCTACCTTGCAGGGTTATTGTTGGAGTTTAGTCAGTGTGGATGGACAGAGCAGCTGGCTAAAGCAGGCCCTCAAAAACTGGTAGCCACTATCATCTAAGATTAGTGCTCAGGTTTGCTGGTGGCCAAGTCAAAACCCAAGTCACTTCAGTTTCCCCAACACTATAACTGGCCCACAGAACCCTAGTGCCCTGAAGCTATAAAGGTATACTTTAACATTTCAAATGGCATCTTTGAAACCCAGCTCTCAGCCCACTGCACCATAGATTGTTTCTTCCTTCCTTGAACTCTTTGATCTCACAGCTAGGGCTGTCAAAGCACCCTATAAATGTTTCCAGGAACTGTTTTTTCCTGTCATTGTTGTTATCTTTGCAATTATTGCCACTCACCTTCATTTTCTGCTTTGAGCAACACTCCCTCGTAGGTGAGCAAATGACAACAGGCTTGTTTTGTTATAGCAGAAAGGAATACTGTCCTCAAAGATTTGTCCCAGTCAGAAACTCCCTTTCTGTCCTTTGAACACGTTAAACAAATACAAGTCCCCAAGAGGAGGGTCCTTGCTGGGATGTTGCTCTGGGCCAGTGTGCTGTGAAGGGTCTGGGCAGTGAGCTCATGTACAAGCTTTTTCCTGGGAGGTTGTTGCATTTCATTGCTAACTTCAATAGAAATGATTAACTGTAAGTGTTCTGTGCCTAACTTTGGGGAACTCATATCAAAAAAAATGTTTGGAAATGAAATGGCTTTGTGAGCATGTAAAATAAAGACATGGAGAAAGTCACTTAACTGTGATAATAAATCCTCGATGGTTCCAGGGTCTGGCAGCTGTCTAGAGAGCATATTTTAGGGAGAATTTTATGGTGTATTTGTAACAGTTAGCTTTTGCTGCTTAAGAAATCACCCCCAAAATTTAGTAGCTTAAAAGAACAAAAGGGTTCTCTCTCATGAGTCTGTGAGTTGTCTGGAGGTGGAAGGGTTCCCCATGGCTGGAAGGGACAAACTCTAACGCATGGGCACTCTCCAAGCCTCTGCATGCATCATGTTTACTATTATCCCATTGGCCAAAGCAAGTCACATGGCCCAGCCTGGGATCAGCTTGAGAGGAAGTAACCAAGGGGGTGGATTTGGGGAGAGGAATTACATGAGCATCATTTTTCACATGGTCTGATGCAGTATTAACTTTTAATAATTTAGATCCAAGAAACCAAAACAAGGAATTATGTCATGCAGAGACTCCAATATAAATCTCATAATAAGCTTAATGCTAAAAATCTCAAAGTTCAGGGATGCTGTTCCCCAAAATTTGCTCTCTATGCCGTAATGGAGAAGCAAGGCTGCAAGAGATTTCTAGGAGGTTGAGGACCCTGTGTTTTTGCAAAACCAAGGACACCATTTGGCATCATTTAGTTATGTCTTATGCTGGTCCCCACCCCACAGGTGATACGAACTCTGCCTACTTGATTTCATAAGCTTTTTATGAGTATAAAAACATGATAATCTGCATTTGTGACTGTTTTTATTTTTATTTCCTTTAACAAAATCTGGCCTGAATGGTATGTGCAGGAGGTGAGTGAGTGTGTGCACGTGTGCGTATAACCTGCTGCACCTGGACGCTCCTGGTGACAAGCATGCAATTGCGTGACTGTTGTAGCCACATCTCTGGTGTGCTCAGAGAGATTACCAAGAGACACCAGACAGCAGAGGTCTCAGAGGAAGTGGCAGCTGCCCTACCTGAGTGGTTTCTCCCTGTCCTGCCGTGTTGCTGCCTAACAGGAGATGGTAGACTAGGGAAGGCAGCCCAGTTCCCTAACACAAAGCAGTAGTTTCAAACATCTGCTTGGCTGTGTGGTTGGAAAACTATTTCTCAGAAGAAAATCAAAGTTCGGAAAAATTCTTTTTTGGGGAGGGGAGAGACATGGATGGGGCCCCAGGTGCAGGTGAGGTGTGAGCAAACTCTCGGCTCTGAATTAAGGAAGAGGACTCAACCATGCAGTCCCCCAGCTCCTCTGACCTTGCTGAGTGGGCTGAGGAGGCTCAGAGGCCCTGTGTTTGCCTGAGGAGTATTCAGAGTTAACGCCACGTAAACAACAGCCAGGGAGGCTGGCACAGGCCCACAGTTCAGGTAGAAACATGTGTGGACGACATTCTTGCGGGGCCTACGTAGTAACGATCGCCACGACTGGTTATGAGCACAGGGTACTCCCCCGCTACAAGGCACATGCCTGTAGCTCCACACTTGGCACCAGCAGAGGCCCCCAGGCTACAGGAAGGTTTGGGTAAACCAGGAGAGATTATCCCAGAGTGACGGTGCTGCAGAAAGAGTCATGTTGGAGAGAGCAAGGGCTTGGGGCTAGGGCCCGGGCTCTCCTTCCCGTTAATCTGAGAACCTTGGACAAGTCACCCAACCGCTCCAGGACTTTACTTTTGATAAGAGGAAGAAGTCAGTCTTGCTAAAGAACCAACCTCTCCCACACCTCTCATTCCCAGGCCCCTCTAGCCTGTTCTAGTTTTCCTTTTTGCACACCATTCATCAACTTTTAACATACTAAACAATTTACTCACTTTTTGTGTTTATTAATGGTTGTTTCTCTCTTCTCACTAAAATATTAGTTCCACCAGGGTGGGGATCTTGGAAAGGTTTACTTACGTGTATCCCACGTACCTAGAATTGTGCCTGACATATAATAAATAAATAAATATTACAAATATTCACTGGATGGATGTCAAGTAATGACCTCAGGAGACCATCTCTAGCTTCACTGTTAATGCACCGGTTATCTCTTGTTGTGTAACAAACCATCCCAAACTTGCTGGCTTAAAACAATAGCAGTTTATTATTTCTCATGATTCTGTGGCCCAGGAGTTCAGGCAGGGCCACTGGGCCATTCCTTGAGTCCTGGTGGCCCCAGCTGCATTCAGCTGTCCACTGGGAAGGGCTGGAAGGTTCGAGAAGGATTTGCTCATATGTCTGGTGTCTTAGTGGTCCTGCATGTGCCTCCTCTCTTTTCATGTGATGTCCCATAGTTTACAGGTTTAGCCCGAGCTTTTTCACATTCACTGGATTCCCCAGAGCAAAAGCCAGAAGTTACCTGGCCAGCCCAGATTCTAGAGAAAGGGAAATAAATTCTCTGTCTTCCTCTCTGTTTCTCTCTGTTTCTTTCTCTGTTTCTCTTTCTCTCTCTCTTTCTCTGCGTGGATGTATGCACAGGGTGGGAGGGAAGTGGCAGTGGTCCCTTTGGAAGCGGCCTAGCATGTTATTCCATGGTCCCATGCTCTGCAAACAAGCGCCTTCTCAATAAGCATTTATTGGGCACCTTTTAGGGATGCGCTGAGCACCACAGTGCCCCAAACCTCCCTGCCTTCACAAAGCACATCCCTGGAATGAGCCCTGGAGCTGTAAATCTTTTAGCTTCAGGTGCCATCTTGCCTTGTCCAACAGTGAGAAGGTTGGAAGCGAACAATTGGTGGGCTGCTTGATAGGGAGATTTGGGGACTGTGTGGGGGAGGTTGATGACCATCTCCCTGGCTCCCTTCCAGATTCCACAGACGGTGAGGGTGACTGGAGTCTCTGGTCTGTCTGCAGCGTCACCTGTGGGAATGGCAACCAGAAACGGACCCGGTCTTGTGGCTATGCATGCACTGCGACAGAATCGAGGACCTGTGACCGTCCAAACTGCCCAGGTGAGCTTACCCAGGGGTGTGGCTCCAAGTTCAAGGGGAAGCTTTTAAATTTATATTTAAAAACTTATAGAAATTGTCTTTTTAAAAAGATAACCATTTTCCTAATAAGACTTCTGACCAGAGTGAGACAAGAGATAACCAATAATGAGCGTAATGGATGAAAAGATGGATTTTCTGTATCTAATGCACAATTGCAGTGGCTGTGACCTAAAGGACAATGCCATGTTGCACTTATTTAATTTAAAGGAGAGACTCTGGTTAGTTTGGGCTTTAATGTGGGATTTGTTTTGTGTCTTGAAGAGACACATGAAGACAGACATTCATGGTCTGACAAGGAAGACAGGACAAGAGGCTTAACAGCCATCCACAGAAAAACCACACAGTTAGCCCTACCGGTAACACCTGACAGTTGCCAAAGGCCCCCAGTGGAGCAAACTGGGGTGATGTGCCAGTTAATTATACCTTTATACTACATTTTCAGTGCTTTAAAAACTAAACTAATTGCAAACTTGGTGAGAGGTCATACTGAGAGTGAACAATAATTGTGACCGACTATAGCAGTTGTTGGCAAACTATGGCCAACGGGCCAAGTCCAACTGGAGATCTGTTTGTGTATGGCCCATACATTTTGAAGAGGAGAAGGAAGAGGATGAAGAGGAGGAGGAGGAAGAGGAGGAAGGGAGTAGGAGGAGGAAGAGGAAGCAGCAGCAATCAAACCTATATGTGACCCACAAAACCTCAAATATTTACTCTCTGACCCTTTACAAAAAAGCTTACCAACTCCTGGCCTATAATTTTACTACGTGTTCCCCATTGCCAGGTAGAATACCAGCCTAAAATAATATCTTAGGCCCTTTTAAGAAACCACACATTCCTAATGGCTTCATCTGAAAGAAATTTCAGAGCCAGAAAATCTGATCCCTGCACCTCAGACTTCCTATTTCTACCCCTAGACACTCTGTTCTCAGACTGGAGATATTTGGGGCAAAAGTGAAGTGAAAGTTCAAAGGAGTTTCTGAGGAGAGAGAGGAAGGACCAGATTGGAATGAATGTGTTTCTTAGCGAAAGGGCCTGTCTCAAAAATGGGGCTGAAATGTAAGACGTGGTGGTTCTGGCTCCATGTCAGCTGCGCAGACGGATTTAAAAAACGCGGGGCAGCCATCAAGATGCTTTTCCTGATCTTTCCCTGGGCGTCATAACGAGCTGAGTTGGAAGTCCAGTGGGTGGGATTTGGATGAGTAGAAATGAACCAATAAATAATAACAATATGAGGAGGAGGAGGACAGGAAGAAAATGAAGAAGGAAGAGAAGGAAAATATGAAGAGAAAGATAAAGAAGGAGACGATGATGAAGGTGAGAAGGCGAGGCAAAAGAAAATGAAGATAAAGATGAAGAAGATGAAGGAGAAAAAAGTGAAAAAGATGGTAACGAATAAGAGTACTTGAGTACTTATGTATCAAGCAAATTTCTAAAATTATATGTATTATTTCCTTTAATCCTCACTGTAGCCTCATGAAATAGGAATGTATCACTGTGCTCATGTGACAGCTGTGGAAACTGAGGCATAGCGGGTTAACCTGCCTAGAGTCGCACAGGCAGCAAGCGATCCATCTGCAATTTGAATCCAGGCAGTCTGAACACAAAGTGATCATCAAACTCACCTGCACCAGGGAAAAGGGTCTTGGGCTCAGCCACACATGGACACACACAGCACTTAATGTCAGGGTTTGGGGGTTTGCCTGCTGTTTTCTTTTCTGGAGCTGGCGTCCAGATCAAGGTGGCAGGTTTAGGTATCTTGTCAGGGGGAGGCTTCCTCTGCCTCCATCTTGGATGCTTCCTTCTTGTTTTCTGTCACCACTGAGAGCAGTGTGGCTGGCAGCCCTCTTCATACATTTTCTTCTCTTCTGTCCTTGTCCTCCTTCCTTCTTTCCTGCCCCTCTGTTCCTGGCTATTACAGCTTTTCAGGACTCCCTTGGAACTTGAGGGGTTTCCTTTTTCAGGATCTTTTTCTTTATTTGCCTCGTTGATTCTCAGCATTACTAGAAAGGACTCATGGGGCAGACAAGGTCTCCCTGACCTGGCAGTAATTACACTGTAAAAGTTTGTCCCCTAGGTCAACCCTACGGATAAGTTTGAGGGGCCTCATGTAAAATCAGAGAGAGTCACATAAAGGAAATCGAGTCATCCCCAGCAGGGAAACCAATGCTCGCCAACAGATGTTCCATGGGCCTCACTCCCTCCTCTTATTGCTTCGGCTTGCAAGTGATTCTTCTTGGTAAAGGAAGACTGGTTGCAGGTGGTAGTGTGGGGAGTGATGGAGGGAGTTTGGGGAATTTGGGCAAACCAGGAAGTTTGAGGAAAGCTGGGTTCCATCCCTCAGAACACATAATGACAAGTCCAGCTTATTCTTTCTGAAGCCACATCAACAATGCTAAAAGTCCTAGAATATGAGATATCTGGTCTTTGGCTATGGACCGCTGCATCCTCAATGGGCTAGACAAATATTCAAGGGCAAAAAATCAGTGAACACTTACTACTTACTGCCCTAAGTACCTTCTTTACACATAATGTATTTAATTCTTTCAACCCTATGGGGTGGGGGGGCATTTGGTTCTCCCCATTTTATAGATGTGAAAACTGAGGCACACGAAACTTTGAAATTTAAATGGCTTGTCCAAGGTCACATGGCTAGCAGTGATTTGAACCAGGCAGTTAGTCATTAAAAACAAGGTATTAACCACTACACTCTACCGCCTCTGGTTTTCACCATGACACCACCAGACAACCATCCAGACATGTGTCCCCCACTTCCCAAAACCCCATCCCCAGGCCTAGCAGCTGAGATCCTTAGGACTCATTCAGGCACATTTGGATCCGATTTCATGCTGCAAATGGTATCTGGGGTTTTAATATATTTTATGTGCTACTACCTGCTTTTTACTGTTTCCTCTGTTGGCAAGTTTCTGCCTGTGAGTAGTAATGAATACAAAAAAGGCTTTGTTCAGGTGTATTTGTTTTTTTATTTGGGGGGGGTAACTTTTTCCATATAACTAGGGAAAAATGAGCTCTTGTCTGTGTTTAGGAATTGAAGACACTTTCAGGACAGCTGCCACTGAAGTGAGTCTGCTTGCGGGAAGCGAGGAGTTTAATGCCACCAAACTGTTTGAAGTTGGTAAGAAGATTTTTTTTTTCCTTTTTTATCCAAATATTGACTTAGTGTTTTGGAGATTCCTTTTGCCTTTGCAATGCCATCCTTGGATCCATGTAAATGTTTCATTTTCCTCTTCTGGGGTCCAATTCTCCTAGCATATTTCTTGCTTACTGAATATACTCCGAGCAAGAGAGAGCAATCTATGCCTCCTACACCAGAATGTGCCATACAGCCCTTCTGTGTGCACCCTGCTTACTGTGCAGCCTCCACAGCAAGAGGCAGAAGAAACCACTCTCCACTCTTAGCACGGAATCAGCCCACAGTAGGGGCTCAAGCCTCATGGAATCTGGTTTCCTCAGTCTTCACTAAGTGTCTGCAATAAAATCAAGAAATGGTGCCCTCAGTTCTCCAGCAGAGGGAGGGAGGGAGAGAAAGAGGGAATTTTCTCAATATTGTGCACCCCCGTCCCCTGCAGGAATATTTTATAAACCTTTGGTATGCTCTGCTACTTGTCCACTAGAAAGTGCTAGATCACATCCAATAAACATGGACCACACAAAATTAAAAGTGACTGTTCAGGTGCAAGGTGCAAGCTTGCTTCTTAAAAATAGCTTCATGTGCCTCTGCATATAACTGCAATATTGTAGAAGGGTAAAATTCCTCTGCCCCATTTCTTTTTGCCACCCAACAATTCTTACTTAACTTCATCATTTCTGCCCTCCCTCCTCAGCCACAATTTAGTAGTCTTAAGCCCCTTTATTTTTCCACAGCCCAGCTATTCGGGAGCTAATTTGGTAAACAAATATGTTTCTCAAATGCCTGTAGGGGTCAGATAACGGTCTCATTAGAACAAGTCTAGAATAAAAGGAAAGACACATAAGAAAGTAGGCGGGAAAATGGTGCCAGCACTATGATGAAAAGAAACTGAAACAGCTTCAGCGGCAGGGGGCAGTAGAGAGCGGCAGGGGCGACGGCAGAATGAGGAGCTTCATCCAAAGGGGTTAGCTGTGACTTAGCCACCAAGGAATGAATACCGATCCAGGATTGCCAGATGTTCTAATTTTCCGAGAGGCCTCAAATCTGGAATATATTTTAATTGTTTAAATGCTTGATAACATTAATAATTTATTATAAAAGCAAACCCAATCAAACATGTCTACGAGCCAGACTGGAGGCAGTGTGGACACCCTACGTTACTAGAGCCTGTACCTCACCTCCAAGCCCGTCACATACCTAAAGTCAAATTGCATTCATCAGGTGCCTTTTGCGAACAGGGTGCATTTGATTTTTAAAAGAATGACTTTAAAGATGAGAATTTTACATGAAATGGTAGAGCCTCTCTTTGGGACAGAGAACTTCTAAGACCTCCTCATATTGTAACCCACAGGCAAGCAGCATCTAGCCCTTTTGCTGAGCACAGCCCAGATGCATGAGACCACACCCGGTGAGTGGCTAGGGACACAAGAGCTGAGAAGACATGGTGTTTCAGGCAGGGACCAGGCAGGAAAGAACATGGCACAGTCTAATTAGGTAATTGAGGAGCCTTTGGTGAGGGACTGTTTGCAAAGGTATGAGCAGAGCGGATGGAAACCAAGAAGGGATTTCCCCAAGGCTGGCAACAGTGGGGCGCCCTTACTACCTCTTGGCCTGAAGGGACCAGGGGAAGGAGCTGTCACTGTGTGGAGAGGGCCACCTGACAGCAGTCCGGCTCTCAGAAGGATGCAGGCAACCTGCAACAGAAAGAAACACTCTGACCTCCCCTACCTCCCCCTGTCTGGCCTCTTGCTGGGTCCTTCCATTGGCTTAACCCAAGTAGAAGGCAGAGGTCAAGGAGCCTGTCGATACAGTCCACATGGGCCAACCTTCCAGGGCACGGAGAAGTACAGAAGGACGAAGGGAGGATGGGGAAAGCATGACTTGCACAAGGTCAAGTTACTCAACCTAGTACTACGTTAGTTTTCTGATCTATAAAATGATAGGAGGTAACGGTGCCTACCTTGCAGAGTTATTGTGGAACTAAATGAGTTAATATTTGTAAAGCATATAGAACATGCCCATCACCCTGAACACTGTATGTAAGTTTGATAAATAAAAATAAGTCAATAGATGGCCTACAGGTACATGAATTGCAAAGACTTCCGCCCGCCTGGAGGGAACATACAGAGCCATTTTCTGGGGCCTTACTGAATTTTGTTTCTGAAGACCCTGTCCTCTGAAGGGGATCCCACAGGCTTTGCAGACACTCCATAGGTCTGAACTTTCAATCTCTCAGCAACTGCTCAGTCAGTAGATCACAGCCATGGAATTGTAGAATTTATGGAGCTGCAGCATATCCCGCATCCCAACTGGCAGCACCCTGGACCCTGTTCAGTGCACAGCCTGTGTTTCTTCCCTCTTGATCCCACCTGCTGCTCTCTCTCAGAGTATCTCACCTTGACCCTTACCATTGATAGCAGTGCTGCATTCATTTTCTTACTGCACAGCTCAGTTAATAGCTTACTATCACCCACAAACCTTCAGTGGTTCCCCAGTACCCTCTGAACAAGCCTAAACTGAACAAGACAGTTGATGATCTGACACCAACAATTTTATTTCCCTATACTTTCTGCTCCTGTGAAACTGAATGTGTCATGTCCCCAGCCTCAGACATTACCCGGGAGATTTTTCTCTGCTCAACCTTAGTTTGCACAATTCATGCTTACCTGGAGGGCCCTCCATCCCCCTTCCCCCATCTATGCTCTTGCAGTCTGGGTGGTTAGGGTCCTCCAAGATGGGATTAGACATGCAAGAGATTTATTGGGGAAACACCCAGGAAGGATAACAGGGAAGGCAGTAGGACTAGGCAGGGGGAGCTTTCAGTCCGAGGTGCAGGCTGGACTCCTACAAAGGGAGAGAGGGAAGGAAAGAAGACTACAGGAAGAGGCTCAGGCAGCTCTGAGAAAGTCTCAGTCAAGCTGACCGGGAATCAGGCAGTTCTCCTACCATGCTCAGTCATTGGCCCGGAACAGCCAGAGGGCGGGGACAGCCTTGATGTAAACACCAGGATAGATCCAAAGGTGCTGGAGGCTGCAGGTCCCCAAAGTGCCCACAGCAGGTTCTCTGAGCAGACCCCTGGCTGCCACACAGGCCCCAGGACCAGCATGGTGTCACCTGCTCCTTGAAGCACCCTCTGACTTGCTCTGTAGAAAAGACGTTGCATTTTTGAACACCCATGGGGCTTCTCTCCTTCAGCCCCCTTAAGGCACCCCACATCCCACCATGATTGGCTTCTTTAGATATGCCCCATCTTGCCTGCTGCAGCTCACTGTGGCAGCTGCCGTCGGTGACCCACCCACGTCCCCTTCACCCACACAATGTCCCTGCACCCCAACTGGCCTCCAGCTGGCAGCCCCCGTGTTTCTTTGCTTGAGGTCTCGCTCTGGCCCCAGAGCCCACTGCCCATGAATGCACAGTGCGCTGGAGGTCCAGGAGCTGCCCCCTGTCAGTGAGCTGTGGGAACTGGTGGATAAATACCCAGATCCCCACCAAATAAAAACAAATCTGGATTTAGTAAGGAAAGACTTTATTCAAAAGATTGGGGAGAATGTTATCTCTCTAATATTGTAATAGGGTGAACGCTGTGACTATAAGTCTGTAAGCACCTCAAGGCTTGGGCAAAGAGGGTTTCCTTTTACAGAGGAATAAATAAGGGGACGTAGGATGAAAGGGTGGCATGATCAGATTGGAGAATGTTCTACCCTGAGGCCAGCCTATTTCCGGGAATGATCCTTAAGGACAGGCAGCGCTGTCTCAGGCTGAGGGAGGGCAAAGTTTAGGTGCTTGAAGGAAGGAGAGAAGGAAAGAAGTTTGGTTAAGACGCATTCTGATTGATCAGTGAGGATAAACAGTTCAGCTAATCATTTTTGAGGCAAAGAAAGGGAATTTGGAGGGTCTGTGTCTGGCTTTGTCACAGGTAAACAAGGGGGCACCCGTGAATCTCTTCTAAGTCCTACGGGTAAAGGCGGTTCTTGGCAGTAAGAATGCAAAGGGTTGGGGGACAGAATTCTTAACCCTCGCTGTTTTCCAGGATCACGGGGCTTGGGTAAAGTTTGACATTGTCATTGGATGAGAAAACACAGAGGCATGTTCTCTGCACAGTTTCCCAGGACCCATCAGGATTAACCAGTTCCTTGCAGTGGTTACTCGTTTGATCCACACCCTGTATTGGCTTCCCTCCCTTCTCTGTCTTGCTTTCCCACCCCCTGCTTGCCTTTCCTGGATTCACCCCCAAAGAACCATTTTCACTGGAATCATTTTGGCTCAGAGTCTGAGAGAACCCAAACTAAGACACTCGTTCAACCTGAGGTCCCAGGCTCAGATGACTGAGGGACCAAGAAGTCACCTGTGAGTGAAGGAACCAAACAGGGGCTGTGCTGAACTGGGGACCTCCCGCCCTTGCCAAGCAGGGGTCATCGTTCACCTATTCATGGGGCCAGTTGTTCCCATGAGGAAACACAGGACCAGCGGAGATCCACCTCTCGATTATTCAAATGAGGCCAGGAATCCACACTTACAATTGAAATCACCTAATTCTTAAATATCAGCAACTATCAATATTTTTTTAATACTGAAAGACCCAAACACAGTACCTCTGGCCGTGGGTTCTGACCTAGGCCTACAGGTTTCTAGCCTCTGGCCCAAATGTCAAGTTCCCTAAAAGCAGGTACCTGGGGCCCCTTCCTCTTTGAGGTATCTTATCCTGTGAATTTGCAAACAGTGATTGTTACCGCCTGAGGTTAAGAGGTTGAGAGCCTAGCCCTATTTTAAACCAGTCAGTGAGTGGCAGAAACAAAACTTAGTCCTATAAATGTTTGTTTGAAGCCTTTTGCATCACATCAGTTATTTAGAGAGGAGATTCAAAACAACCCTCTGAATTATTGTTAATTTTGTTAGGAGTGATAATAGGGTTATGGTTATCTAGGAAAATATCCTCTCTTTTTTTTTTTTGGTTGATGCCTACTAAAATTTAGGGATAGTAATATATATTTCCACAAAATTTTTAAAAGGTGGAGCAAATATAGTTAAAGCTAGGTGATGGAATATGAATAATCATCATGTAAGTATTTTCTCTTTACTTTTCTGTGTGTCTGAAAATACGTCCTAATACAAAGTGGGGAGTTGGGAGGAAGTCTTGTGAACAAAGAAGTTCCCAAGTTTAAGGGAGGCGAGAATGGCCACCCATGCCTGGTCGTTCTAGGCGGCTCCAGGGGTCTTTGGGTCTAGGAAGGGAGTTGACTTTGGTGTCACCCTGTGGACCGCTGGTGCATGTGATGAGAAGGTGTGTGTGTGGCCTTTTTCAGACATGGACAGCTGTGAGCGGTGGATGAGCTGCAAAAGCGAGTTCTTGAAGAAGTACATGCACAAGGTGATCAATGACCTGCCCAGCTGCCCCTGCTCCTACCCCACCGAGGTGGCCTACAGCACGGCCGACATCTTCGACCGCATCCAGCGCAAGGACTTCCGCTGGAAGGACGCCAGCGGGCCCAAGGAGAAGCTGGAGATCTACAAGCCCACGGCCCGGTACTGCATCCGCTCCATGCTGTCCCTGGAGAGCACCACGCTGGCCGCCCAGCACTGTTGCTATGGCGACAACATGCAGCTCATCACCAGGGGCAAAGGTGCAGGGACGCCCAACCTCATCAGCACCGAGTTCTCGGCCGAGCTGCACTACAAAGTGGACGTCCTGCCCTGGATCATCTGCAAGGGCGACTGGAGCAGGTACAATGAGGCCCGGCCCCCCAACAACGGACAGAAGTGCACAGAGAGCCCTTCGGACGAGGACTACATCAAGCAGTTCCAAGAGGCCAGGGAGTACTAGAGAGACTGGGAGCAGGTGGAGCAACGCCACCTCTGGTTTCGCGACACAAACGCGCTGCACTGATCTGCCGACTGGCACCGAGTCCTCCTTATCGGCATATGTGTATACTTGTATATACCACATGAGTATTTTTCATACCTTACACTAAGGGTGTTGGCCAGGCCCGGGTGACTGCCACGTGAAGCTGCCTGGCCATCTGCAATGCCTACTGAGCTCCTTAGAAGTCCTCCTGGGGTGATGTGGACAGGAGGATGGGGACAACAAAGAAGCTGGAAGAACCTGGAAGCCCCGGTGGGTGTGATTCAATTCACCCCGGATCCAGAGTTTCCAAGAGAGGCAAAGGGGGAAAGAGACTGAAGCTGTAAACGTTATAAGCAGTTTTTATGTATAACTTATTTAATACAAATGTGACTTATGGGTAACCTTTTCTCTGGAGTTGTCATCGTGAAACTAATCACTTCTGTGAGAAGTCAGAAAGAAAGGGGCTTAGGGATGTGGAAGAGAAAGGGAATTTTGCAATGATTTCTTTAAAACTAAATAATGCAATGGAAATGTATCAAAACAAGAAAACACCCACCTTAAACCAAATGTTATTTAGTCATAAGGCACCTCATGCCTTATGCCTTATGCTGGAGTCTCAGATTCCAAACTTCTCTTGCCTAAGACTGGGTAGGGGGTGGGGTATTTTAGGGGCAAATATGAGGCCTTATTTTAAATGGGCTTTAAAATAAAAGACTAATATTAGCATATTGCTATGATTCTACATAGCCCCAAATAGTAGAATTTCTGCTCATGTCTTTGTAGGTTCAGAAGACTGCAGGAAGTTCACACATAAAAACAGGGAGTAGCACTTTTCCAAAGAAAAAAACAAAAAAATGGGAAAAATATGGACTTCATTTTATCTATTTTAATACCATTTTAATGAATTTTTTCCAACAATATATTCCCAGTAAATAAATATAAAAAGGGGAGGGGGGTTCAAGTCTAAGAAATCATAATTTTTTATGTTTTAAGAAAGGAAAAAAACTGTGTTATTTTTGTAAAGTATTTATTGAGTCATTGGGTATTATGCATCAAGCAATTGTAATATGACCTGGTTCTGTAGGGTGGAAATTATGAGAAATAAAGAGTTGGTTCTTATGCAATCTTTTACTTGCAAAACTCCAGGAAAAGAGAATATATAATAAAATCATAATAAAATGTGTTACCTGCATCCTTGATTTATAATACAAATACCATAAATAGCCCTAATGAAGTAAGGCTTCAAGGCAGGGAGGAGGAAAGTTCAACCCAGGTGGGAATAAAAGGTTCATTGACTGACATGAGTGTGCATGGTGTAAGTCATAGCATCTTTGGCACCAAGATCTACCCAGCCCCCAGGAGGCTGAGGCCCATTGACACACATGCAGCTTTTTGCCCTCCCAGAAGCCAGACCAAAGGCTTAAGACAGCTCAGGTGAGTGGGGCCGCTTCCAGACAAAATTCTGTGATTACAGGAATAAGTAGAACTACTCATCATACAAAATGTTCCTTTTCCAGATGAGAAAAACCAAAGCTCAGAAAACATAAATCACCTTGGACCCATCTTTCATTTTCCAGCTCAGTGCTCTTTCTACTATATCACATTTTGGCGTCCTTATATTCCTGGTCTTTGGAATTCCTGACCCCACCCTTAAGCTCTTCTGGTAAAATCCTGTTTGTATGGAAAAGCTTTTATCTGTCATTTACACTTTAGAATGAATTATTTACACTTTATGTCTAATTACGGAAGGAGAAGCCTTATTTACATCTAAAGGAATTTTATTGTAACTGAGCTAGTAGGAAGAAAATCAACGGATTCATATATCAGGCAAGCAGATTTCTAATAAAGGGACAAATTTTTTGCAAAGAATTGGCTGGCTATGGAATGTATTGCCTTTGAGATGATGAGTTCCCGGTCAGGACAGGTATTCAAGTAGAGGCTGGATATTTTTTTTTATGCACATGAGAAGCTCAATTAAGTGATGAGGATAGACAAAAGTGTACAAAACAAGACCTCTGATATGTGTTCTATTAAGGGTAAGTGCAAAGTACATTGGGAAAATAGAGGCAGGAATTAGGGAAGTATCTACTGGTTCTATTGAAGGAGTGGGATTTTACAATGCAGAAAAGGGGGAGATGTGGGTGCATTGCAGTAAGAAAATAGTATGGACAAAGGCAAGGAATTAGGAAAGTGCTTGGTGTTTTCTGATAACTGGGATATTTAGAAGGATGAGCAGCACGTGGAGAGTGGTGAGTGCCGGAGGCTTACTTTAGGTGTTTTTGTTAAGGATTTAGCATGGACTCTCAAAGAGAATACAAAGCTTTCATTCCACGGTGAGAATGACTGATGAGAGCAATGTTTTACACGGGCTCTTTGCCTTTTAATATCAGACCTTGCTGACCTAATGAATCGATAGTTAAAAGGTGGGGAGAACTGGAAGCAGGGGAGGGCTCTGGGCTCTTTGCCTACCGAGAACACCCTGGTCTCCCATACACCATCAGGATGGTTCCACACCGCTGGAAATTTGCTGAACTATAATCTGCCTCTATCGGGATGAGATAATGTTCTGTCCCAAAGTTCTAGGGGGCCAATGAGTGATCCTCAGAAAACAAGACCTCAGACCTCACTGTCCAGGTTATCCAATAAGACAAGGAGACCCTTATCTCATTCAATCCAAGCTGGCCCTACGGTAACCCAGGTAATTCCCTCAGTGGGTTGTGGATCATTGGCTTAAGGGCCAACATTGCTTACAGCACAGTAGATGTCTGTAGCCTCACCTTCAGCACCTGTAAATATGACCCCTCAGTAGCCACTCAAATATCTATCTTCGAGTGCACTGCTCTTTTGCCTTTGCCTGGAAAGAGAGCCCTAGTAATCCTCTGGGCCTCTTGGGTGCCACAACTGAACAAGTCAAGAGTGGCAGAGATGCCCAGGGCCCTCTAGAGGCTGCACATAGGAAGGGTAAAGGAGGGATGGGGGAGTGCATAGCTTCCTCTCAGCCCCAGTTCAAGGGTCCACCATGACTATAGTCTCCCAAGCATTTCAGTCTTTATATCTCAGTAGATAGAATTCCCCGTTCAAACACCAAGGATCAAAGAACAGGTACTATACCAGCCGCCATTTTCTGAGCGCACATTGGTGCCTCTGTGCTAATCATTTTACCATGGGAGGCAGGCACTATTACATCCAGTTTACAGATGAGGAAAAGAAGCCCAACAAGGTTAGCTAAGTTGCCCAAGGTCACATTGCTTGGTAAATGATGGGGCTAGTAGAAGCTAGCTCTATCTGATCACCAGAGCCCATGCTCTTAAACCCAACACCTGTGCTCCACTATCTTCCTAACTCTTCCTAAGATCTGCTGGATCAGTTCTTTACTGGAACTTGCTGCCTTTGCTTAAATTGTTCAAAGAGAATCTGGCTTTATCTCCATGTATTTGGCTCAGATCTCTCATAGTCCGGAAGAGGATTTTCTAGTTCTGTAGCTGAGCCCTCGCTTGGGTTGGGTAGTAGCATTTGACTTTTCTAGAAGATAGCTCGCTCCATGGACAAGAACAGAGACTGGTCTGCTTTTCCCACGCAGTAAGCCCTGTGCTAACTCTCACCTATTGGGTAGACCTCAGAAGCGGTGCTGTGTCTCATCCTTCCTATACTCCCAGCTTCTAGCACTATACCTGGTATACACAGTTGGGCAATGTGCAGCGTGCTTAAGAGTTTGAGGGTTCAGTCAGACTCCTTGGATTCCAATCCTGCCTCCCTCAGTTGCCTGCTGGGTATCACTGGATAACTTAGTCAGCCTCTCTAAGTTTCAGTTTACTCATATGGCTGTTGTGAGAATAAAATGAGATAGGTTCATAAAGTTCCTAGCACAGGGCCTGTCACAAACCATGTGCAGTGACGGTTGGGCATTGGCATTAGTCACTTGACAAGTATTCATTGAGCATCTTTATATGTCACACGCCAGAGATGTAGCAGTGCACAAATCAAAGTCCCTCCTCATAGAGGATAGACAGCTGATAAATAAATAAGTGCATAATCAGAGATTACGGTAAATGATATAAAGACAAATTTTTTGATCACACATGTACGATGTTGCCTTATTTAAAGTGATGCTAGTTGCTTAACTAGTGTAATAGATAATCCCCAAAATTACAGTGGCTTAACACAATAAAAGCCTAAAGTGTATGTTTCTAAAACCAAGTGGCCCTTCTCTAAGTGATAACCCAGGGGTCCAGGCTCCTTCCATCTGTGGCTCTGCCATCATCAAGGCAAGACTCTCTAGGATGCCCTGGGGGTCATCTCTATTCCAGCCTGCTCAAAAGGTAGAGAGCAGGGAGACTATGAGTAAAGGTTTTTGTAAGTCAGGCAGCAAAGCACTGTATGTCACTTCTACTCACTCTCCACAGCTCTGTCACGTGCCACATCCTTCTGCATGGGAGACTGGGAAATGGAGTTCAGTTGGGGGCCCAGAAAGCGGAGATGGGCTGTGTGAGCACCCAGCCAGTCTCTGCCATGGGGGTAGGCTACCAACTCCTCAAGTATACAAGGCAGGAAAGAGAGGCAGCAGAAGGGGGTCTGGGTGAACCCAAAGTAGGTGGCCAAGAGGAGAGATCCCTTTCACTCCCCCACTGTCTTCCACATTGTATTATAGTGCTAAGCTGGACCTCAGTGTCCCCATCTATAAATTGGGACAAGACCATTGTCCCACTTACATACTGTCAGGTACTTTTGCTGTCCCAAACATCCCCTTGGCACTTTCCACATCTGTTTAGGCCAGCCCAACTTTCAGGGAGCAACTCCTGCAAAACTTTGCCTGATGGTTTTCTCCAGCCCCTGGAGCCCACTCAGCTTGCACAGAAACAGACTGAAGCGCCACGGAGTTAACACTGTCCCCCAGGAATGCTGGACAGTTGACTGACAGGCACTCAGTCAATGAACACCTCAGCTCCCTCACCCCTCAAGTCGGGCAATCATGAAGCGTGTCTTAAACCATTCTAGGAGCTCCTGGTGGGATTGAGCTCCAGTTACCCATGGCGGTAAACTTCTTGGTGACACGTGCTTTATTGGCTTCCTTCCCTTCACTGTCTCTCTTCTCCATTTCCTACTGGTACTTGCTGGAATCCTCCCCCAAATAAGCTACTTCCCTCAGGTGTGCTTCTGGGGGATCCCAAACCAAGACATCACTTCACGATTTAATAACTCATTAAGTGCTATTCAAATATGAGCTTATTATTATTGTCATCATGCATATCTGAGAGTGAGGTTTTGCTGTAGGTGATAGTTCTACCAAAAAAGAAAAATCAATCTCATTCTGGCCAGAGATAGGAGCTCTAATAGATTTCAACACCAGTGAGTTTTTACAAACTAAAATAAACTTGTAGTTTTTATGATTAGATGCAACAGACAGAAAATTACTCTTCCAAATACCTCTAAAAATTTTTAAACACTTCTTTCTTAATTCTAGAATTAATTTCCTTGCTGACTGCAGACTGGTACGGCTCCAAGGACTACACTTCGAGTAGCACTGTTCAAATCAACTGAGCGACAGTGATCTAAACCCCCACGAGCATCAGTTCTGTCCTGATGTACAAAGAGTTATGAAAAAGCTTCCCAGGAAGTATGCGTGGGGAGGGGTTTGGGGTGGAGTTCTCTCTTTGTCATCCATGTACAATTTCCCGTGGAAAAATGTGCGGGTCGTCACCATTGTGCCTGCACAATTTCAGACAAATTAAAGGCTTGTCTCAGTAATTACTTGGTGGGTATATACAGAAACATACACCCATGTGTACAGGTCCTGTGTACAGCAGTGTAAATTAAGGCAGAAGGTTTGCAGCCAGTTGCTTTTCTGAGGTTTAGCATTGGTTTACTGTACAAAACCAGAAGGACATTTTCCAGGATCAGAAGGTAAGATTTTAAGGAACAAAAACAAAGCTTAGATACAGATTTTTTTTTTAAGAGCTCTGTGTAGAAATTTGGAAAGCCAACATGCAAAGACCAGTGCCTTGCCTGTAATGGCAAAAATAACATCATCCTTAACCATTTAAGCAGTAAGGGAATGGGGGGGACTGGGTTGAGACAGCTGCAATAGCAAAGCTGAGTAAGAATTTTATGACTTTGCTAATTTTCTATCTGTTCTGGGAGTAATAAATGTGCCCTTACAGATATTCACGATTGCCCTCAAAATG